GGGAATAACAACGGGAATAACAACGGGAATAACACCGGGAATAGCGGGAATAACAATGGGAATAACACCGGGAATAACAACGGGAATAACACTGGGAATAACAACAGGAATAACGATTGGAATCATGGGAATAACAACCAGAATAACACCGGGAACAATGGGAATAACACCGGGAACACCAGGAATAACAATGGGAATAACACCGGGAATAACACCGGGAACACCAGGAATAACAACGGGAATAACAATGGGAATACCGGGAATAACAAAGGGAATAACGGGAATAACAACGGGAATAACAACGGAAATAACAAGGGGAATAACAGTGGGAATAGCGGGAATAAGAATGGGAATAACAACGGGAATAACAATGGGAATAACAGTGGGAATAAGGGAATAACAACGGGAATAACAATGGGAATAACAATGGGAATAACACTGGGAATAACAATGGGAATAAGAATGGGAATAACACTGGGAATAAGAATGGGAATAACAACGGGAATAAGAACGGGAAAATCCCTCGGGGTGATGGGATGGGAATGGGAATAAATGGGAATGGGAATGGGAATGGGATGGGGATTCCCGGGCTCCCATCCCATGGATCCCATGGATCCCATGGATCCCAGTCCACAGATCCCATGGATCCCACGGATCCCACGGATCCCACCCCACGGATCCCACAGATCCCACAGATCCCATGGATCCGATCCCACGGATCCCACAGATCCCATGGATCCCACAGATCCCACGGATCCGATCCCGCGGATCCCGCGGATCCCGCGGATCCCATCCCACGGATCCCACGGATCCCACTGATCCCACAGATCCCACGGATCCCATCCCACGGATCCCGCGGATCCCGCGGATCCCATCCCATGGATCCCATCCCACGGATCCTACGGATCCCACAGATCCCACAGATCCCATCCCATGGATCCCATCCCATGGATCCCACCCCACGGATCCTACGGATCCCACAGATCCCACAGATCCCATCCCATGGATCCCATCCCATGGATCCCACCCCACGGATCCTACGGATCCCACAGATCCCACAGATCCCATCCCATGGATCCCATCCCATGGATCCCACCCCACGGATCCTACGGATCCCACAGATCCCACAGATCCCATCCCATGGATCCCATCCCATGGATCCCACCCCACGGATCCTACGGATCCCACAGATCCCACAGATCCCATCCCATGGATCCCATCCCATGGATCCCACCCCACGGATCCTACGGATCCCACAGATCCCACAGATCCCATCCCATGGATCCCATCCCATGGATCCCACCCCACGGATCCTACGGATCCCACAGATCCCACAGATCCCATCCCATGGATCCCATCCCATGGATCCCACCCCACGGATCCTACGGATCCCACAGATCCCACAGATCCCATCCCATGGATCCCATCCCATGGATCCCACCCCACGGATCCTACGGATCCCACAGATCCCACAGATCCCATCCCATGGATCCCATCCCATGGATCCCACCCCACGGATCCCACGGATCCCACGGATCCCACAGATCCCACGGATCCCAGCCCTTCCCGCTTTTCCGCAGGCTCCCTCCCGCCATGGCCACCAACCTGTCGGTGCCCTTGGCCTTCGTGTGCCTCCTGCACCTGGCCAACGAGAAGGTGAGAGGAGATTCCCGGGATTCCCGGGATTCCCGGGATTCCAGCTCATCCCACCATCGCTCCCGAATCCCGGGATTTATCCCTGAGAATTCCAAAGGGAGCGGATCCAGACCCGGCTTTTCCTTCCCTTTCCCAGGGCCTGAGGCTGGAGAGCACCGAGGAGCTCTCGGACGTTCGGGTGTGCCCGGGTCCCTGAGCCGGGAATTCCGGGAATTCCGGGAATTCTGGGAATTCTGGGAATTCCCTGATCCAAAATCCGGGAATGCAGCGGTGTCCCGGATCCCGATCCGGCCGGGATTGGGAATTCCTGCGCCTCACTGAGCCTGCTCTGGCCTGGGAATTCCGGGTTATCCCAAATTTCCCTTTTATCCCAAACATTCCTGTGTGTCCCAAAATTTCCCGTTTATCCCAAATTTCCCGTTTATCCCAAATTCCTGTGTGTCCCAAAATTTCCGGTTTATCCCAAATTTCCCATTTATCCCAAATTTCCCATTTATCCCAAATTTCCCGTTTATCCCAAATTTCCCGTTCATCCCAAATTTCCCTTTTATCCCAAATTCCTGTTGATCCCAAATTCCTGCTCATCCCAAATTTCCCATTTATCCCAAATTTCCCATTTATCCCAAATTTCCCGTTCATCCCAAATTCCTGCTCATCCCAAATTCCTGTTGATCCCAAATTTCCTGCTCATCCCAAATTTCCCATTCATCCCAAATTTCCTGTTCATCCCAAATTTCCCGTTTATCCCAAATTTCCCATTTATCCCAAATTTCCCATTCATCCCAAATTCCTGTTCATCCCAAATTCCTGCTCATCCCAACTTTCCTGTTGATCCCAAACATTCCTGTTTCATCCCAAATTTCCTGTGTATCCCGAAATTCCCTCCCCGCCTCCTTCCCGCTCCGGAATTCCCA